TTGTTTCCCATTTTGTGGTGATTTTAAATAACAAGGTTCTGTGCTAAACTTTTAACTTAATTACTGATGTGTAGCAGCCCTAGATAACAAAAACAAAAACTGATCCAACGTGTTTTTTTAATCATCTCTTGCTTCGCCTTGTGCGTCGAATCTCGATGCAATCGCCGGCTAGTTCGTTAAAATTAAACATGGAAAATATTAAAAGTACAACCAACACCCAAAGTCATGGACGAAAAGCTCTGCCGAAGAATAATTTTATAAAAGGAGAATTGAATTATCCGAGTCGTTGTTTCGTAGAAAAATGTAAAAATCGTGCAAGTTTGCTTAATTCCTTGCTCTTTTAGAGTTTGGAGACATTTTGGTGATTTTTGAAGTTGGTAAGGTTATAACAATATTAAAAAACTTAAGGAGATCTTTATGATATTGCCCTCGGCTCATGTTAGGCTGAACAGACTGTGAATAAAATTTACCTTCATGATAAAGATGACTTAGTTTCATTTTTTTGGATCTATTTTGTTGTAGAAAGTTAAATATGTAAAGGTTTCACAAAACTCTATATAAAATATATATTACTTTTAGTTATATAAAAGCGACCATAAATTAATATATCTGAATTCAGCATGCATGATTTTATCAATACTTTTGCTTTAACTCACTTAAGTTTTTTTGCAGATACTGAGATCAAATAAGAATAAATCATAATCTAACTTATTATACTAGTTCTGTCTTTTAAATTAGTAGCCTTATTTCCGCTATTGCCTTTGTCTGATTTTTTAGCAAACAGGGTGAAATACAAAGGTTTTCAAATATTTAATGATTTAATTTTTATACTCAAGCATATGTTGTGAAGCCTCCACCAATGGCAAAATGTGTACTCATTGAAAATGCCTAAATTTTCTCAAATAAATTCTTGGAATTATTCAGGATAGACTGTTTCTGCGGTCTGCGATTTTTAGAGCAATTTTAACAGGATCTTATAACCACACACAAGCCGACCGTCCGTCAGAACCTAGGTGGCGAATTGGAAATTAGTTTATCAACTACTCCATTTTTTATCTCTAATATCTCAATGTCTTCATCATTATTATTCAAGCAAAACATATGAAATAACTTTACCGCCTCTCATCTATCACTACCATGGCCAATTTCTCTCTGACTTGAGTGCTTCTAACACGCGTCAAGTGAGCTTTAGTCTCCATCAGTTATGTTAGGCAGCAGGCTCCACCCCATTAGCAACTTCTTTACTCTATCACAATGAATCTCCTAAAAATCTGCATATTTTAGGTTGGCAACTAAGTCATTGGCGATTTCAAATAAAAAGGTAAATTCGGAATTTTTGTTTAAAAATATAACTTTATTCAATTAGATATTGGCCGTTCTTGTCGATGACCTTTTTCCATCCTTCTGGCAGAGTAAAAATTCCCCGTTCGTAAAATGTCTGGTCTTTGCTATTAAAAAATTGAATTAGGTGTGATTCGACATCATCCGCGTTGTTAACAATTTTACCATTTAAAGAGTTTTGCATGGAACGAAACAAATGGTAATCCGAAGGTGCAAGGTCAGGGCTATATGGTGGGTGTGACGAAACATCCCAACCCAGTTGCAATAAGTTTTGCCGAGTAACCAAAGATGTGTGGGGCCTTGGGTTATCATGATGGTAAACAACACCCTTCCGATGTGATAATGCCGGCCGCTTATCTTCAATTGCATCCTTCTTTCAGTTTTTCGAGTTCTTCAACATACACATTTGAATTTATCGTTTTGTTCTGCGGCATGAGTTCAAAATACAAAATTCCTTTGTGATCCCACCACACTGACAGCATAATTTTTTGTTTTTTGGTGAATCTCTGCTTTTGATACTGTTTGGGCTGGTTGATCTTGCTTCACCCATGATCTCTTGCGAGTAACGACATTGTTATAAACTATCCACTTTTCGTCGCCAGTAACTAGGTTCTTCAGAAATGGATCATTCTCATTCTCATTGCGTTTCAGTAGCGGCGAATCACAGACGCTAATCCGTTGCGTCAAATGAATTTCCTTTAACTGGTGAGGGATCCATAAATCAAGTTTCTTGACATAACCAAGGGTTTTTAATTTTTTTTTGTCAATGCATGTATGCGACACATTGAGCTTCTCTGCAATATCTCGTGTTGTGCTGTGACGATTTGAATCGATAATGGCCTTGATATGGGTTTCATCCACTTCGAATGGGCGGCCAGATCGTTGTGAATTTTTCAGTGAAAAATCACCGGAACGAAATCTTTCAAACCAATTTCGACACTGCCTTTCTTCCTCACGGCTTCATCTCCATATACGGCACATAACTTCTTTTGTGCTTGCGATGCGTTCTTGCCTTTTCGGAAGTAATACAATAAAATGTGTCGGAAGTGCACGTCCTGTTCTTTCATTTTTAAATTGGGATAAAAACAAAACTAAGAACTAAACAAAAACAACTTTTTACTAATCAACCTAGAAGCCCATACAGTAAGAAAAAAATATAGGTTAGATGCTCTGGCCAAGTTAACAAAACAAAAGAAAGTATAGAGTGAATCCGTCAACAAAAACGGCAATGACTTATTTTCCAACCCAATACAAGAACAGTTATTTATTTCGAATGGCAGGCATTTTGATAGTTATCATTAGCCCTCAGCTGACTTCGAACTTCACAGAGGGGAGAAACATCAAAGTTCAAGAGGGTGGACCGAAGAGTGATTTGCAAATGTAAAAGAGGCAGACACAATGATGGAGAGTAGGGTAAGATGAATACTGTAGAAGTGGTCGACTATGACACACAGTGAGGTCATGGTAGTTTGAAGTCAGAAGTCAACTGCCGAATATTAGACTTTTTCCGTATGAGTATACGTTGCCCAGGGTGCACCACGTGGAGGTAAGTCTATCGCACACCCCTTTACAAGAACATTTTATTGCTATTAAATTGAAATAAATTAATTTATTAAGAACAAATTTTAAATATACCAATACATACACTGGTATTTTTAATTTCTCCTACCATACGGCGACTTTATTGCAATCACTACAATGCAATTTCAAGGATTTTTAAAACTTTTATCGCATCACGTAGTGGTTTGTGTTGGTAAGCAGTCACGCTTGCAGTTAGTTGCAGTTATTGTATCGTTAAGTTTTAACGATGTCCATTAACGTGGTGGAAATTGTGATTAAATTAAAAAACGACAGAGGATTTTTACCTTTATACAAGTAATTTTCAAAAAGGAAAGTTAGCGTAAAAATCGTAATTGGAATTATTGAAAATATTTACATCATTTCCATTGAGGAAAAAGGAATGAATATGGCATGACTTCATAAAGCGGAAAATGGAAAATTTATGCGAATCGGCGCAGATAAAAGATGGATAAAGGTGGGCCGTTTCAATTTATGACAGTAGATCCAATTCAAGTCAAATTGCTCTTAATGGCTAAGGCGTCGTTATATGCGACAAGGAGTGCACAAAATGTTAACGAATTTATCGAAGTTGAATTTACATTGGGATTAGTTTTAGAGGTAAATAATTTTAATATGGATTATGTCATTTAATCTGAAATTGCATCCAGATCAGAAATACATACAATTTATCCACATATTGTTAGACATTGTTCCCATCAAATTTTGCCCTGCTTGAACAATTTCGCTGAAGTTTACTAGTTAACAGAGCATCAAGTAAAGCCTAAAGATTTAACTCCATCGATGTTCAAGATTGCTTCAAGTCGCATTCGACTCACATGTCTCGTTGATCATGTCAAGTGAGATGCCTGTGAAATTAATAAATCTTGGATCATTTCTTTGTTATTTGGTTTTAAAAGCGATGCGAGTCTTCATAAACTCACTGCTGTATACTGACTTATATACGGACTTGATGAATTTGAAGATGATACAAGAACTGTTTGAATGGAAGTTAGCTAAGAGGTGGCATAAGGTCATACTATATTGACCTCCATTAAGTTAGTAGATAGAATTGATGGGAACTGCAATAAATAATGTAAACAAACCGAAGTTTAGGAGGCCAAAATAAAGTAAGTGACAATAAGAACTTTACAGTGAATCGTCGAACGTAAAAGGTACCATAATCCGATATTACACAGGTAAAATAACTCCAATACAAAATCCATTCTTTGTCTGTAGATGAGAATTTGATATTTCGTAGGTGGGCCACTGACTTCTTGGATTGAGCGATAGACTTACCTCCACGTGGTGCATCCTGGGCAACGTACGATAGACTTACCTCCACGTGGTGCACCCTGGGCAACGTACTTTCTTACGGCAAAAATTCTATCACTCGGCATTCGTTTTTCAATAGACTTACCTCCACGTGGTGCATCCTGGGCAACGTATATTTATACGTCAAAAAAGTCTATTATTCGGCAGTTGACTTTTCACTTCAAACTACCATCACCCCACTGTATGCCAAATTCGACCACTTCAACATTGCTCATCTTACCTTTTCTCTGCATTTATGTCCATCTGTCTCTTTACATCTGTGAATCACTCTTCTTCCTCCTCTCTCGAATTTTTCCCACTATGATGTTTCTCCCCTCTATGAAGTCCGAAGTCAGCTAAAGGGCTAGTGATAACTATCAAAACGCCTACCATTTGAAATAAATATAGATAAATTTTTACTCTAAATTCTCAATTAACTTTCATAGATAAGATCTGGCTTCATTTTTTAATGAATTTCTTTGTTTAATCCATGGGTGGATTTAAGGATTTACATCGCTACACGGAAGTTTCTCATCAAACTATGCTACCTTAGTGCCATGATAAAAACTAGTTAACTTTATTTTAAACAAAAACCAAAAAACAAAAAACAAGCCTTTGTAAGAGCAAATATAAATAGCCTTAGACAACGGAGTAAACAATAAATTGAGGAAATTAGAATTCAATATTAGGGATGGGCCAGATTCTATTGAAATCAAGCACTTTCTGAGGGGCTGGCAGTGGCTCTCAGTTGCTTTACCTTTCTACATATTTCCTCTGATGCCATTCGTTTAGGGATTTCTGGCCTGTCTTAGGCAATTGGTATTATTTTCCAGATAGCACACCCGATCACCTCGTGGTTTATCAACTCTTCTACTGCCAGCGATTTTATGAGTGGAAACCGCTTCTTCACTCGTTTTTCCGGTATTAGTTTTATGTGATGTAACCTCACTAGAATTCCTTCTGTTCTGCCCTCTGTGATTGTAAAACATCCGATATATTGGATGGGGGTTCAGAGATTTTCTTGCCGGGAAAAATTTGGATCTCTGATCAATACTGTAAGAGAGGATTTTGGAGTGATGCTTGTGGAATTCTGCGGGATTTTGAAATTTTGAAAGATTCGGTCCAGCAAAGGCATGAAGATTGGTCCAAGGAATTCGACAGAAGAAGGAATGTCTCATTGCTGCCTTCAAACTAAGGCGAGATTGGGGATGACGGATGAGCATCTTAAAGATCAGACTACGACATTTTGGAGTCAACTTCTTAAGTAAATCAGATGGTAAATAAAGCTTCCATTCTTGACTCAGATGCTGACCTTTAACATTTGCCCAAGGAATTGGTCGAAATCTACAAGATCAAAAGACTTTCGAGTTTCCCTTAAGTAAAAACTTAAAACAACTCTAGTCTACCATAAATTCTATTGTTGTATTCCCTCTTTGAATATTGGAGATGATTACAAAATGCTCTTCATTATTATGAAATTACTGTTATGAAAGCGCGAATTACGGAAAGAATTTAGTTTATCCACCCATTAGCAGGTTTTTCTCAGTAACTTCCAGTGGGGGTACCGTAAAATTTAACAAGCAGCTCAATTTGATTTTATGATTTATCTAGGCGAATCAAGGAAAACCCTGTTGAAAAAATATGGTTTGTCATTATTAACCATTAAAAGAAAATAGCACAAACGACACAATTATAATTTTAAAATTCTACAAAACACGATTATTAGTATTTAGATGGAATTTCTTTCGAACTGTCACAAAAAATAATGGTACAAGATGATAATTTCGTTATTTTAATTAGCTAGGTATTTCTGCGTACAGGTTACATATGTACAAATGACTTACATTCCATAACCAAGAACCATTTCTAGAAGCAAATATCCAAGACCCCATGAATCGATAAACTGATTTGACTCCGTTGGTATTTCGTAAATCTCTGGAGCCAAGTAGGCTGCATAGTAGTACCTAGTGGGTGGATCATCCTCTTCATCGTCTGAATCAATATCGGGAGACGCCCAGTAGCTATTTGTTACATGTAAAACCTCCTTTCCGATTGGAGATTCAAATGGCTCCTTATTCTCCCCCGATTCATTCATGCGCATCTCTCGCTTTACCGATGGAAAGTATTTGGACATTCCAAAATCAATGAGCTTTGGCCGATGTTGATAGTCCAAAACTATGTTTTCTGCTTTCATATCTCTATAAACGGTGAAAAATGAATTTAAACCAAATGACAATCTTGTTTAAGTATATTCCTTAAATCCTATATATTTCTGACAAACTCAAAATACATTTACTTAACCATCTGTGAGTGGCCATGAAACTCACAAAATAATAGGTTCATTCGAAACTAATTTTTAAATATAATTATGACAAGCGATTATATAAATTCAAAATATTTTCATATTATAACATATTTTAAGCTAATTTCGAAATTTCACTAGATAAATTGTTGGATTTACAAGTATACCTTCTTATCGCACAAGGTTAAAGTTGCCAATACAAAAAATCCGTAGTCTACCGCAATCCTTTGACAACCAGATCGGTACTCTTTTTACAACAAACCTTTTACAAACGTACATTTCATTTTTTAAGAAAATTTCTGAACTCAGCTCTTTTTTTCGAATTAAAGATGAAATCATCCTCAGTAATAAGCAACTTTGCTTAATTACTAATGACAAGAATGCCTGTTTATTCCTCAAATTAAAGATTGTCGGGGGAAGCCAATCTCCATTTTTTATTAAAAATAGTAATGATGGAAGAATCTAACGTCAATATCAATTAGGCATTATATATAATATAAAAAATCGTTTCGTTTAATTAATAACATGTAACTTCTGGGACGAAATCTGCTTACTGCTAGTTATTCATCATGAGATTATGAGTTTTCTCAAGCTTCAGCGAATTTCCACCAATCTTGGACTTATACGATTAAATCAAGCTTTTCCTAGCTTATATATATATATATATATATATTAGTTTTTAAGATGGTGAGTGATAGAAAAATCCCAAACCTCACCTGTAAACAATACCTCTCTCGTGGAGATATGACAAAGCTGTGAGGATACAGGCGGCATAATAGGCAGCATAGCCCTCCGGAAGTACACCGATTCTTGCAATGTGGTGCCACAAACATCCGCCGCTCAGATATTCAAATGCCATAAATAGAGCCGAGTCTGTTTCGTAGATATGATATGTACTGAAAGTAAGAACATATTACAGCAAGTCTCTGTTTATATTACTTTTAAAATCTTTGCAGCAATGGATGTGTCAATCTTTGCCACCCCGCTACCTCTTGTTCCTCCAACCATTTGTAATCTAACAAGTTATAAAGGACTCTGCAAATTGCAGGAGATTTTAAATCGATGTCTCTATAGCCTGCCAATCTGTGAAAATGTTCCCATCCTCCAGTCATAATGACAAATCAAGCAAAAATTATCGCTCCACTCCAGTCGTATTTAAGACCTAACTGCAATTAAACATCTGAACTAAATATAAACCGATAGGAAACACTAAAGCAATATTTTGGATTTATTGGCTAAGTTGCTGATTAAAAAAGTGAAAAACTGATTGGCCGTTCACTCTAAGTTTGCATCAGTAGTAATTTCGTCGAGTTACGATACTTTCGGGAAGTTTATTGTCTGAAATCCTGGCACAATAAAACCGATAGCTGAATTCAAAAATAAAAAATTAAATCAAAGCAAATATGAAATGATTGGTGTTAAGTTGGTTTTCTAAAAAATCACTTTTATTTGATAAAGAATTTTATCATTTAAACTGCCCTTGAAATAAAAAGTATGTTACGAATCATTAGTAAGTTCTAAGTGGTCTCGAAAGTTTTGGAAATATTCACCTCCCTCTTTTGAGAAATAAAAATATAGAGACTTTGAAAATTGCTAACAAAACAGTTTTTATTTGTCTTATTGAGGTATTTAGGCGAGAAGAAAGTAGTGCATTTTGTACTTTTTTAAACGAAAAATATTATTGCTATGCCGAAAGTGTGCAAATCGTACGTCACCAAAATATGCTAATTTTTTTCACTAGATATATTTCTTTTCCACACATGGATTGCTCTTCAATAGACTAGGTACAGATCAACGGCATATATATTACCCCATAACCTTGGCAGCATTAAGCATAAAGGTTATTTTGTAAAGCACACATGCCATGCTAAATATAAAGCAAACAGATTTTCATAGTAACAAGAAGTCAACGTATATGATCACCAATCACTTGAGCAATGACACAACAAAAGGATTTATGCAACGTTTGAAGTCCTCGACACCATTCTCCAAACGTCCATATTAAGTGGTAGTTCACAGAGTTCATGAAAAGAGTAATAATTCCATAATGTTCGATTTTTATTATCAAAGCAAAAGCATTTTCGATGACTTCTTTATATCCCAAAACTCAATGATAACAATCAAATGTCCTAATGTTAAGCTTTTCTCAAAATTCATGCTAAAACAAAGGTTTGGTTAATGAACAAATGAACAGATTTTATCCAATCCATGTCTCCTGAAGTGTTGAACTGAGGAATAATCAGCATATGGTACTCATGTTGGAGCTAGTGCAGACAAAAGTAGAAAAGGCTGTTTGTTAAAGAGAGAGAAGGTGTTTAAGTAGATTCCAAAGAGAATGCATTTATAAAAAATATGCCTTTAAGGCAAGAGAATTTAGAATTAAGGGCTTTGGCTATCCCCATGAATATAAAAGAATCAAGGAATTCAAATTGGAGAAAAGCTTAGGTCTTTAAATTAGCATATCCGCAAGCCAATTTTATCATTATTCACCATTTTTATCATATCATCCAACATGCTTCGTTCTGAAATCTAGGTTGCTAGTTAAATGAATCCAATAAGGTGGGAATTGTTTTAACACAAAAGGGATGAATTTAAATCCAGGAATGCCATTCATATGCAATCCAATTTATATATATATATATATATATATATATATAGAGAGAGGACGTTTCTATTTCGTTAAATAAATAATGAGCCTGGACTCAGAAAGCCACTTAATACTTTCACTTTGAATAATCTTCAGACCAATAATAAAGCCCTAATTCCAGCTCCAAGTAGAGTCCTTTTTAAAGCCTCAAACAAGTAAGTTAGTCAGTTGAAAGTTAGTGGAAGGCGCTTTTCCCCTTTTAAGCTTCGTTTATTCTCCCCCTTTTGCCCTCATGCGTGGAGCGGCAAGTAAAAATAAACACATTTTGGCGTAAAATTGCTAGTATTTGACGCAAACTCTGCATTATGTCTTAATTTACATTAGTGTGAAATATGACCACTTTGGCCAGAACTGACTTACTAATCTTCAAGTCGTTAGAAAAAGTATATATGCAAATTTCAACTTCTGGGAAAAGGATGAATAACTCTTGTTTCAGTGAAATGCACCAAAGATCCTAAGTCTTAAATTGAAAAGGACATTTTGACGTAAGTTTCAGTGCAGCACAAATTCATTCATTTATTTTATTGACAATATTCCTTCAAATGCAAACCAACCAGAATAGATATCAATGTTAACTTTAAAATAAATTTACCCCAGTAGATTTAAGTGAACAATGGCTCTTTTTAATAGGTAAATCTCGTTTTCGTCCCTTTAAAATACTTAATTCGTCGAAAGTTTTGCGTTTTACTTCGAGATCCTTATCAATATGTTGGCTCAGAACATTGCTGACAGTTTGACAGGCATTCGGAATAAAACTGTCATTGGTTTAGTGGTATTTTAACCTTGAAACCCCTACAATTTAATGATTACTTTGTTCTAATAAGGTATCTGCTTCATGGAGAAGCCGCTCTGTCCCCTCATGGATCTAAGTGAGTTGCGACTACCAAATGTCTAGAGAGCACTTGTCTCCAAACGAGCGAGCCTAAAGTTCCCAGGAGCTTTGGAAACTTCGGTTAATTAGCATTCCCTCTTAAACACGCTATTATAAAGTAGGAATGCATTTTGATAAATATACTTACTCAACAATGAATGAATGTTTGATTTTCTGCAAGAGTTTTGCCTCTCGACGTTCAATAAACCAAGTCTTATCATTTTTGTCTTGTCGAAGTTTAAACTTTAAGGCGTACTGCTTAGTTGTTCTAGGTAAATGAACCCATGCCACTGTTCCTTGACCCCCAGTGCTCACTTTAGTTGGGCACATTAGTTCGAACTCATCCAATGATGGTGAAGTCTCCAGCTTTTTAATAATCTTCTCATCAACAGCCTTGACTTCCACCTTATGCCATTCATAGTACACGGGTCCTCCCTGAAGTGCTTTCATTTTTTCAACCTTCATGCAAACGCATGGTTTATTAGAAGATAAAATTTCGTGCCGCTTTTGGGGGCAGAGAGTGTTTGTGAGCAACGTTTTGTTCTGACCTTGAGCATGCTTCATAGGTGCCTTTGTGAGCTCCAATTTTGCTCCTGTGTTACGTCTACTCTCAACACCAGTAAAGGAACTGTTTCTTATCGATCTAGTTGAGTAATCTATTTTCGTTTCATAACGCTTGTTGTGGAATTCTTTAACGAAATTACATGTTTAATTAGGCTCAAAGTTCATGAAGTCATAACAAAACCTTCAAAGACATTACGTAATAAAGCTTACTAGTGGATATTTTGAACGTCTGCTTATTAGTTGTTCTCTCTTCTTTAGACTTATTATTATATTGCGGATTAGAATTCTTCTTATGTGCTGAGAGTTGCGTTTTGTTTTTAGGTTTGAACATCCAAGTGCGGCCTTTTGAATTGCTTTTGTGATCGTCATTTTTATTTTTCCTTTTCCACTGCTCTATGGAAACGTCTGATGAAAACGATGTACTGCTCCAATATGGCTTTTCATTTGGATTACTACTTTCATTGTGGTAATCACTCCGCGATTTTGAACCTCTGGATCCGTGGAAGTTAGATCCTTTTGGCTTTGAGCTGGAATTCAAGTTCCTTCGTACGCTATGATAGGAATTCATCCTACCGTTTTTCTTAACAGTATTTTGAGGAAAAATACGATTTTGGTTTGGAAAAATGGGCTTTCTTAAGGGCTCACTGGCGTATTGTCTCGATTTGCTATGATGACTCTCAGATTTCTCATTGTATTTATCGACTGAACCGACTGACTTGCGACTCGCAGATCTCTTTCGGACACCACGAGTGTACTTTCCAGTAGACTGCCTACAGTGACTATACGTCTGGTGATTATCCTTAGAGTAGCTAATACTGCCGTTATGAGATACTGTTGAACTATTCCTACTATCCAAATCAACTGTTGAACGATTAGTTGGAGGAAAATTGGATTTGTGAGGATGTGAATTAACCTTTGAATCTCCGAATTCTGGAGCTTTTTCAACATGCTTGACGATATTTCCATTACTCTGATTTGATTCATGCCTTCCCTTAGATATCAAATAATGAATGCGATTTCCATAATGTCTTCCAGTATTCTTTTGACTGTTTAATTCCAAAGAATTAACTTGACTTGCGTCCTTCGAGAAGTTTGACATTACGTTTTCGTTCCGAGGTTTCGAGTTACGATTGAATATGCCTTTAATGTGTTCTTTAATACTTGATTTCACTTTATATTGAAAAAGACCCATTAGTTGAAACGAAAAGAAATTTCATTGACCATTGTTCTTTGACAGCTAATCGCGTTTCCGTCTTGTACTATTCAATTAAGTAACACTTAATCAACGTAAAGACCGCTTGTCAAATGAAAAACGCGTTGTTTAATTGATCAAATCTCACGTGGCTTGATTTGATTATAGTCAATTTTTAAAGGTTCTTTTTTTAAAAAACACGAGCTAGCATAATTGCTAATATCAACGGATATAAAGAATTTTAACATCCACATATAAAGATAATTTTCATTTTATTTGACCAATAACCACGTTTCTATCCCTGCCATTAAAATTTTGACTAACTATACGTATTAATGTTGAAGTTATTTGTATGTTTTAAATTATTCATTGCCCAATTCGATTAATACTTCAATCACTTATTCATTAATGATTAATATAAAATATTCTTACTGTTTTCTTTTTGAAATCTGCATTGATACCAAAACAAAATTCTAATCGCCTCTATTTCAGGTGGATGTGAATGATGCAAGTGCATGCTTTAGACAATAATTACTACGCAACTATTCGCATTTATAGCTCTAAATCGTACAATATAACTTTTGTACTAATTTCTTTGCTTTCCATAGCGACTAATTACATCTCTTCTTACAATGATTTTTAGCCATATTTGACTACTCCAAAGGAACCAAAGAACCCTGAAGTACATTCGTAACAGCTAGTAAAGTAGGCATCGTCTACTTGACAAGGATTTTTTACAGCATTTTCTCAACATTCTGCATTCACTGTGAGCGCGTTCTCTCTTCGTTTTGCAAGTGCAGCAAAAATAGTTCAGTCATTGCCATTTATTCAAAAGCTAAGTGAAATAATATATGTGTTAGCATTATTCCATTAAATGCTGTAACGAATGCGATCTCGTTATTAAAATTCTATTAATGGGACCACTCACAATTTACGAATCGTGGTTGGCCATGAATTTAATCAATAAGTAGTAGAAAGGAGTTTAAAATGGGAAAAAATATCTGGCATGTTGTCTAGTTAGCCCCAACTTTCAACGAAACAGCTAACTCGGTTCATTGTGCCCGATTTATGACGAGAATTCCGCTGATTCTCTGGTGTTTGCTCACCAATTAGTTAAGAATTATTGAAGGTCAAAGTAAACTAGTCATTGCATTATTCACATACTACTAATTCTATTTAAGCACCCTGAAATGTGATACCAAAATAACTCAAGGTTTTTTCATCGGATAGTGGGGGGGGGGAGGGGGGGAGGGGTTAAAGCAAAATGGTTGGTTCAAATCCATACTGTTATTCGTCATAAGTAATTTTACCACAATTTTCTTTTTGTCAATTAGTGTAGCATTTCTGTCGTCACTTTGGATTAATAGCAAATGTTTCAATAGTTAGTATACTCCAAAGGTAAGTTGATCGGTTGTCCTTAGCCTAGATTAAAGCTGAGTAATATAGACAAAATTGAAACCAATTTGATTTACGCATTTCAAAATTACTTCATGGTAAAGCAATTGCTTGCGTCAATTGTGAATTTCGTTTATGTCTTTTATAAGTCGCGTTCCTCCTGTGCGATCTGTGATCTGAAAGATTACCTTAAACTATTTCATAGTTGATTGAATGACGATTATGCGCAACTACAGAGGTCAAATCTGGTGACACGCCGATACCTTTAAACGATTCAATTTGAAACTTTAAGGTGAATTTGAGAAAAAAATCATCGTTGATTGTTTCGTGTCTATCCAGGATTACCATTTTGACGTATATTCAGTGGTAGATTACTTCATTGCAATGCACATCGAAGTAAAATACTTTATTTTAGTTTTGTATTTTCACAATACTCTGAAATTGTCTGAAAGCTGACACTGGACTTCTTGTTAGTACATCATAATAAATCAGGACCTAAAAATAGCTTGTGGCGATAACGAATTGGTTTATTTGAAGTACTACAATTACTCCCTATGCAAAGTAATATTAGAAGATTTTTGTTCACGGAAAAACAAAAAATTGGCATAAGTAAGATAATTGTATTTTATTAGAGTTACTGCTGGTTAGTATGCATTTATTTACTCATTGAAAATTTCCCCACTTAAAAAATAGTCATTTAAATAGCATTGGTAATTGTCTTAAGAGGGTGCTTTATCAATTGAAAGTACTAGCATTAGGGATACAATTTCTTCTAATGTCTATGAATTCCGCAAATCTTGCTCCCTCTGTCTGCCCATTGATTACTTTCTGTTGGGATTTTTCTCTCGACCTAGCAATCCATCAATTATAAGCCTTGGTACTGCTTATTTATTGAACTTTTCTCTTTACAGTCACAATTACGTCATTTTGCATGAAATGAGGTAGGTGAATTATAGATAAGAGTTCTCATAGCGGGTCTACCTCTTGTAGCAGAAATCGTTAAGATGAAGACTGCAAGTGGTAATAAGAGAATTCATTTGTCTATTTTTAAAAGCATTGTATATGTTGATTTTAAACTAGCTAATGGATACTCAAATAGAGGTTAAAGTTCCTAATACTTACGTATTTTCTTATGCCTTTTCTGTAAATTACTAGTGCATTGGGAAATAATCCTACTGTAGGTGGGGCGTGGGGGAGGGGGGAGTGAGGCGGAGGGTGAATCTTTCGTCTGTTATGAAGCGGGTCTAATTTGGGAAGCTCGTAGATTTTAGACCTAGAGAAAACTTGTCTTGGATCGATGACTTGCAATTAGAGGGAAGTATCTTACTGTCGCATCGAACTAAAGTTAGCCTACAATTACTTTTGACTCTTTTGTCAACCGTAGTATTAATTAACATCAAATTCAGTTTGCCTAATGAGTTTTATTTGAACAAATTACTATGATGAACATTTTTATTTGGACAAAATTGATCGCGCTATCAGAGTATTGTCAAGAAATTGGACCAAAAGTCATTAGTTACTGTTAAGTTACAAAGGATATAAAGAATGCAGGGATGTCACAGGAAAGAGGTATATATCGCAAATTGCAGACGTAACAATTAGGTTAACTACGTGATGTAGATATACACCTTGGTTTAAGTACAAAGCAATTTAGATGTCTGTAAAAAATAGATTCACGTCAATGAATTTTAAGGTTATTTAATTTTTAGTTTGCCTTTGAGGGGCTTGAAATCTCGTGGACCATTTATCAACTTTTTTTCAAATCAAATTTTATTAAAGGAGTATATATATTCAAAAGTGGTGGTTTACATTCATTTTCTCTACTACTGTTAACCCAGAAAAATGATAATTCATTAGCACTTTTTCTGCATAAATAATAAAGAATTCGCTAATTAGATACGAGCTTTACTCTTTGATTAGAGCTTTTACTAGTCCTGTGGCCCCTTCTCCATAGCATTATCATAGAAAATATACAAAATTTACTTCAAACAAGAATTTCGTTTTAAATTATGCATAAAATATTTTGAGTCATCATCTTGCCACCATTGATAGAACCACTTGGCATTAACCACGTAACCTCCTAGTTATTGTCTCAAGTGAACAAACTGTACTTTTTCAACCAACAAGCACCATCACTCATGTTCATTTTGTCACTTAGATAAATCTTGGCCAGCAAGCACCAAATCTACATTGATTGGCAACTTCATACTTATCTAGAGCTCATGAGGAAATTTGACTTTCGGTTTTGCAATGATCATCCAGATACAAAGCGTGAAGATTTCCTCCTTGAATCTTATCGGCATCTAAATGTCGAACGTTGTGCTAAATGTTACTTCGGATGGTCTTTGCGCAGCTCGGAAATACATCTGTCTGAAATGTCCTTTTAAGCCGTCATGTTGACCATAAACCTGCGCCAAGGACATTTAATTCCTCTTACGCACTCGAGTTCTAACACGTAGTTAATGCAAGAATTCGCGAACAACATTCTGTCGCAAAACCCATAAACAGAAGTATCGTACATATATATATATATATATATATGTGTGTGTGTGTGTGTGTGTGTGTGTGTGTGTGTGTGTGTTATCAATTCGGATAATATTAACACTAAACTGGTAATATCCTCTTTATTAATCAAATTAATTATATTTTAAAATAGACAACAGTATTTGGTTTAAACAGTAACCTTAGTGTGACCGCACTAGGTATTCCCTTCTAATAGACTCAAATAGCGCAATAGTCAACACGTTCAAGAGACGTAAAAACAATGCCAGTCGATGGAAAAACAACTGCATCAGTCAATTCCGAGTGCTCATAGTTGGGGGGTAATTGACTTTGCATAACTTTTAATAGCATAATTTGAACTTTGCAACCCATGTGCCTGATAACTAATTCCCTTATTGACTTCCTTTGAGCAACGTGATTGCATCCCTTTAGAATCCCAACCATGTTCGTGTTAGGTACTTTGTTGGCATTAAAACTGAGTCAACCGGGTATAGTTAGTGTCAAATCTGTTCATAAATTCTGTAATCTGTCTGGAACGCCCTGTGTTCCAGTGGTGTTCATTCGATCCATTATCATAAAGGAATGAAAATGTGATTTTTTGTGAAAGTGATATAATGTTAAATTTGAGGAATTAATTTACATATAGTTTTGTTATATAATTATTAATAAAAGAATAATTTATTTATATCAAATGGCAGGCGTTTTTATAGTTATCGTTAGCCCTTCAGTTGCCTTCAGGCTTCACAGAAGTGACGGAACATTAAAGTGAAAAATTAGGTGGGGGGGGGAACAAAAGAGTGTTTCAAAGATGTAAAAGAGACATTCGCAAAGGTGGAAAAAAGGTGAGGTAAGTAATGTGGAAGTAGTCGAATATAACATGCTGTGGGGTCATTATAGTTTGAAGTTAAAAGTCAAATGTCAGTTAATAGACTCTTTGCCGTATGAGTATGCGTTGCCCAGGGTGCACCACGTAGAGGTAAGTCTCTTGCACCCCCCCCCCCCCTTGGGTAGATAAAGTTTCACGTTGGAGGGTATTTTCATAATTCAAAACTGAACTCATATAAATCTCTTGAACGGGTATATTTCTTCGGACATTGGATCTA